TCTCCAGATCCGATGGATTACTAAACCATAAGTAGCTTACCGAAAAAAAATACCTTTAAATAATATATAAGTATATATTATAATTGAATGTGGGCAGTGTCTCTCCCAAACAAAAATAAAATTAAAATAAGCGTTTCGTTTAACAATGCCTTTGGTAGGAGTAACCAACCCGAGATAATAAAATTTATAAACTGATGCAAATAAATGTTTAAAGTTTACCAGAAAAATAATTTCTAAAATGATCCATTGTTAGTATTAAGCTGCAATTAGTTTTATTGTGGTGAAGGTAATTCTTTTATATTTAATTTATTTCTAAGGAATAGGCTAGTCTTTTTAAAATATTTGCTTAATTATAGTATTTTATTACCCCATTCATGGAGTATAAAATTTTACTATTTTGTGGGAAAAATACAAATTTGAAAGAGGTCTTCATATAAGCTTAATTTTTTATATTTTTTTAGCCCTCGGCTAAATGTTAATAGAATTTATTACATTGAATTATTTTGTATTTTACATTTTAAAATTGATTTATTTTAATTTTTAAAAAATAGAAACTTTTTTAAAATCTCTCCAAAAAAAATTATATTCGATGTTTATCGCTAAAACTTTAATATGTTCAGGGATTATTTTCTCGTGTTTCTTAATGACGTAAGTATATCTGATAACTATATTCTCATAATTAATAAATTTATTTGAACAATCTATTTTCCTAACTTTTAAGTTTTTCTTAACAACGCCTCCACAAATGCGTACTATTATAATTAATTAAAAATAATTTTTTGGTTGTTTAACTGTGGAATATTTTTAATTCACCTATCTTCCCAAATAAAGAAAAAAACTCTTTTCGACAAGTTTTAGCCTTGAAATAATTCGTTTCACGTTTAAGCTCAAATTAGATAGTCAAAGTCACTTTTTTTGAGTAAAAAGTTTTGGCTAAACCTTGCTTGGAAGTAGTAGATGTTTCAAGAAAACTTAGATCTGTTATTATAAATTAATATTAATCTTAAACCATAATTCCCTCAATATAATACAAAATATTCATTATTATTTTTTTTATAAATAAGATTCGTAACAAATCAGGTTTGTCCTTGTCAAAGAGTTCCAGCTTGCGTAGTTAGTTCATCAAGTACTTGTATTGGAGGATCCCCTCCAAAGGAACTTTGCTTTTGTGCTAATTCGTGCACTAAAGTGAGTGACATCTTTAAAATTTATATACAAATAATTTTAATTTAAACATCGGCATCTCAACTATTTTTCGGCGCTATAATACTAATCAAAGCAATGTTTAATACCCCCCCCCCTCCCCATCTTAGACAACCTCATATTATATCAAAATCTCTTTATATAGACTCTAGGACAAGTGTGCCATGGACCTGTATTTTCAAAAGGAACTTGTTCGAAAGAGTTGATATGCAAGTTACACGATTACCAGGATCCCTTCAACTCAGAGGGAATATGCATTCCAGGGTTTCCGAGAGTAATCCCTCACTCATATTTTTTTTTTAAAATATATATTAATCTCACTGGTAGAATCTAATTCTTTACTTATATCCACCGTTGTTATGTTAGATCAACTAACTCTAGTCAATTTCAATACGGCTTGGGGCCAAGATTTTAGACTAAAAAATAGACTGACTTGAACTTCTAGGTTAGGACTCAAAGAGATAAGATTATTTTTTAGGATAACAAATTGGCTAAAGCCTTTTTAAGTTCGCTAAAGTAAGATGATTTAGCAACTTCAACTTATAATGATCACACGAAACAAATTTTGTAACTTTCTTTCTCCTTATAAATATTTTAAAAAAAATAAATTTATAATATACCCCACTCTTTATTGAATTTATATATTAAAAATCATAAAAAAATTTTTTTAATCAATTAGATAAACCGATTTTAATCAATCAGATGAACTTGATTTTTACAATTTTTTAAAATACTTGATTTAAATTCAAAATAAAATCTTAAATAATTTGATTAATTTTTATATATTTAAATTTTCTTTTTCAAAAAATAATTTTTTTGATTTTCATTGAGCTGCTAATTATGTTGACATTAATAACACTTTTAAAAACTGTATATAGAAATGTCATAACTCTCTCAGAATACTCACAAAAAGACAAGATTTTTGACCAATCTAAACGTTATATATATATAATTTTAAAAAGCTTAATTTATAAAAATTTATAAAAATAATTACCCTTTATAATATTTAAAAACTTCAATTTATATATATTTGGTTTAATAATATATAAATAATTTTGTATCGTAAATAGTTTGTAATTATATATCATCTAAATAGGATAAAAAAAAAATAATGATAATAATTGAAAATTATCATAGGCACTAGGAGAGCCATGTGGGGTAACTTATGGACAGGGTACTTGCGATACTGGGTTAACTTGCCAGCAACCTGGAGTGATCAGCATTGGAAAATGTGTCAAAGTTACATGAAGATTATATAAACATTAAATAAAGAACCATTCAAAAATAAAAAATATCATGTTAAATATATTTTTTTTAATCAATCTATAATCATTTTAATTATAATTTGTTAGTATATACTATTTCGGAAAGATAATAAAATGTAGTGTTTGAAACCTTTCATCTCAGGGCTCATGATATTTATTATGAATGCATTCTTGGGGTTAGAGGTAAATAAAGTAAATACGTAATTTTAGATTTCACTATCAAACATTTTGAATTTCTCGGGTGGAAACTGATTGGATTAAATTGTTTGTTAACATTATTTATTTATTAAGTTTTTCAAGATGCTTTTAGAGATGAAAATTTTCGTGATAATTTAAATCAATCAATGGAAGAATGAAAGCTCTAAATAATTTTAAAGAGTTTATTAAAGAAAAATTTGATTGGATAAAAGAATAATTTAATATATTTTATATAATTTGTGATTGGGTAGGATACCCAGTAATTAATCCAATGTTGAAACGATAGAACTCTTTTTATAAGCGGAAAAATCTAAATGTTCGGATCGGCGGTGATTCATCTTCCTGGCGTGGCCGGGTTTTTAAAATATTTTGAACACAATTTATAAGATAGAAGAATTTCCTATTTTTTTCCCAATTAAATAAAGAATAAAATTCTGATAACACCCGTCAATCTTTGAAGGGCTGCCTGTCATCTTATAATATATATTTTATTTTTATATAATACAAATAAAAGGATATAGTATAAAGCAAAATAAATAATTATGTCAAATAGTAACAGTAATACATTTATCTAGGCACATGTGAATGAACCGTTAAATTTAACTTGCATACAGGAAGGTTTTGTACAGGAACTAACCCCGATCTTTTTCTATATTAAAAGAAAGTGCCCAATTTTTTAGTCATCTTGGCACTTCCTCTTTTATCCTAATCCTATGTTCGAACATCACCTTTAATATGATCATTTGTTGTAATTGCAAGATAACAACATTATATAACAACATTGTCATCAGACTCGAAATATATGGCCATTGTCATTCGCATAATTTTTTAAATTTAAAAGAACAAAATATTCAAATACATTTATATTACTTAACAATGGTTAAGAAAAGTTCTTGAAAAGTTTTTAAAATTTTTTTTATTTATTGTATTTTTTTTAAATCTAATTTATAAAATAAGTTATTATCCACATCTAACTCATTCAAATGTTGAGATGGAACACTTCAATTCTAGACCGAGGATTTTTAACTGATCCATTATCTCCTATGTCCTATGTGATTAGAAGGTGTGCCTGTAGAGCTAAGTGGGTCAGCTTCATCTTTTATGATATTGGTCCCTCCATTACTTCCGCATTGACGATATGTGAAAATCACTTAATTTTAAAGATATAATTTTTTTTGAATGGAATACAAAAATCTTTCTTGAAAATTTATATAGAAAAACAATCTTTAAGCATATGTTGTCTGACAAATTGAAGCTCATTCTCACATGGCATTAGGCTTGATATTTTTTTTTTGGTTTAATATTAAAGGATATATAATCTATCTTCCATAGGTTAAAACATACTATATTTTGAACAAAAGTCTTTCAAAAGACGTTATCCAATAAAAAAAGGAATAGGTGATAGGATGAAGTCCCAGTAAAATAATCATTTAGTTCTTCTCTCTGTTCCAGCAACAATTAAGATCTTTCTTTTGCATTCCAATACTTATAAAAGTTAAGCGAGATTTCAAAAAATAAATTCATTCAATATTTCGTGAATTCCCAGCAATTCATTTGTTATTATTATTTACGAAAAATATTTGAATTTACAATTATTTATATATTTTTTCTAAAAATATCAATATAATCATTCTAAGGTCTTTCTGGAGAATCTTCTTATTAAAATCGAAGAAATTCCTCATTCATGATTAAGTGTTATCGAAGGACCCTCAATTTAAACACCGATTTAAGGATAAACGGAAAAATCTAAGATTTTAATCCTAAATAAATATTTAACGAAGGCTTCAAATAGATGGCACGGGTAAAAGAAAGGTTTCTTGACTAAATATCAAGGCTTATGTAACAATTTTTGGCAAAAATATTGGTCATTTGTGAATATAATTTGTAGAAACCAGCTCCGATATTATTAATACTCCACTTTTGTAATCGATATTTATCTCAGAAACCTGCAAAGGGTCAAATCGTAGGGCCCCTGGCTTAGTCCCAAAATATTTTAGAAACCGGTCCGGTCCGGCCCGGTTCGGTTCATATGGTTAATTATTTTTATTATATAGTTTTATTCGCTTTCGAAAATGATAAAACCGAAAATGATAAAACCGAAAATGATAAAACCGAAAATATAAACGGCAAAGTGTTATCTTTAATGATTCGATCAAATTTTGAGCTTATTTAATTGGCATTACGTTCATACGGAAACTTGTCGGGATCAACGAAATCCAATCAATCAGCTGTCTTCCTCCAGCTACAATAAATTTTCTAGATCCTGATTTATTATCGATACTCAAAAAATTGATCCAATTGGAAAAATTTTATTTATTTTTTTCATTAAAAGATTTGGACGCTCGTGGTTCCTATTGTGCTTGTAACAAACGTACGCCTCCATGTTTAACGGCTCCGCCCTCAGATTGCAAAGGTGACCTAATTTTGGACGAATGTGGATGCTGCTACGTTTGCGCCAAAGTATCTTAAATAAACCGCATTTAATATCCTTGTAAAGAGAATATTTTGTGATTATTTTTATACATGTGATTTGTTTAAATATCGTTAGGTGAAAGGCGAAGTGTGTTTGGAACAATATGGACCAATGAAAAAATGTTCCAGCGGATTAATATGTATACTAGATAACTAAAACGACCAATTTTTTGCAAAAGGGATCTGCACAACGGAATACCCTAGAGTAATTTTTTTCTGCTGTTTTTATTAACTATGCCAACAATATCATATTTGTAAAGGTAAGAACCCCGAATTTAAGTGAAACAAGAATTTAAAACACAAATTAAAAATATTCTTGCATATATTTGGCTTGATCATTTATACCCTATAAGCAGTCGTAGCTTCGCTAATTAAATATTGAACCCTTCTCGAAAAATAATAATTTATTTTATTTTCCCTTTACAAGATACTAAATTAGTATCGAATGTTTAACTCTCGAAAACGATTTTAATTTTAAAAAGAATTTTTAGTGTACTTTTCGGTTAAAAAATAACAGAAATATTTTATATATATCAGATATCTTTATTATTTTTTTTTAAATTAAACACCCTAACATACCCGTCATGATACGAATATCAATAATTCTTGCATATATTTGGCTTGATCATTTATACCCTATAAGCAGTCGTAGCTTCGCTAATTAAATATTGAACCCTTCTCGAAAAATAATAATTTTTTTATTTTCCCTTTATAAGATACTAAATTAGTATCGAATGTTTAACTCTCGAAAACGATTTTAATTTTAAAAAGAATTTTTAGTGTACTTTTCGGTTAAAAAATAACAGAAATATAAATATATATCAGATATCTTTATTATTTTTTTTAAATTAAACACCCTAACATACCCGTCATGATACGAATATCAATAATTCTTGCATATATTTGGCTTGATCATTTATACCCTATAAGCAGTCGTAGCTTCGCTAATTTTGAACCCTTCTCGAAAAATAATAATTTATTTTATTTTCCCTTTATAAGATACTAAATTAGTATCGAATGTTTAACTCTCAAAAACGATTTTAATTTTAAAAAGAATTTTTAGTGTACTTTTCGGTTAAAAAATAACAGAAATATTTTATATATATCAGATATCTTTATTATTTTTTTTTAAATTAAACACCCTAACATACCCGTCATGATACGAATATCAATAATTCTTGCATATATTTGGCTTGATCATTTATACCCTATAAGCAGTCGTAGCTTCGCTAATTAAATATTGAACCCTTCTCGAAAAATAATAATTTATTTTATTTTCCCTTTATAAGATACTAAATTAGTATCGAATGTTTAACTCTCAAAAACGATTTTAATTTTAAAAAGAATTTTTAGTGTACTTTTCGGTTAAAAAATAACAGAAATATAAATATATATCAGATATCTTTATTATTTTTTTTAAAACTAAACACCCTAACATACCCGTCATGATACGAATATCAATAATTTTCGACCCGTAAATATGAAACCCGAACCGGACGGTTGGAAAATCTGGGTTAGGTTATGCAAATGGTTAATTTTCAGATCTCTGGTATTACATATTTTTTAAGAAGGAGTCGCTAAAATGATGTGACAAAATAAAGTTATATAATTTTTTTTTTAAACTTACTAAATAACATCTATTAAAAATGGAGGGTATAACTATAGGAAGGGGGGGGGGAGTGGAAATTAGATAGGAAGATCTCTAAAGAGATTCTCTGTCTAATATAGAATCCACAAAGTTATTTCTTTAAAAAACTTTTAATCAATTGAAAACTTAGCCATAATTCTTAAGATAATGATAACTTATGCCATAAAAATTTTATTAATAAGTTCAAATATTTATCCTTTTTTTTTACGTGGGACAGGATATCATCATTAGGGTGTAGAAATAAAAAGAAAATATTTGTCCAAAACATAAATATGTTAGCTAAAAGATGATATAATAAATATATGGCGTAAGATTATTTTCTTTATTCTAATATTGTATTATAATTGAACCTTGAGCTTGAAAACTTTTTTAATTATGGACTCCTGGTCAAAAATAATTGATTTTTGCAGTACTTCAGATCCATACACTCAAAACTTTTATAGATTAAAAAAAATTGCACCAATCTAAGTTTAAAAAAATTAATAGCTATATATTAAAAAAATAAATTATTATTATTAGGAGGAAGGAGAAGCATGCAGTGTAGGTCATATGCAAGGGAATTGCAAAAAGGGATTGAAATGTGAACATTATCATCCATCCATGATGGGTAAATGCGTCAAAAATTCATAGATAATAAATGTGTTATTCCAAAAAAAATTTTAAATAAATAATCTTCAAATTTTAGTGTTTAATATTAATTAATGTATGTTTATATATATACAAGCTTTCAATAAATATTGCATAAAAACTATTCCAACATTCTTATACAGTTTTCATTAACCTGTAGAAACATGTGTGTTCTCTTTTTAATCTTTGGTTATAAATAATTTCAACTAGAAAGGCATTAATTTGGGCATAATTTATCAATTTTATGATTATGGATAGAGTTTTTGATTAAAGATCACCATTCAATCACAGTAGGAATTTCTTATTGCCCAAATCAAAATAATCTGAAACTTTAATTATTCTACTATAAAATCAAAATTCACTAAAATTATTAATCTCTTTATAAAATTGTATTATTGTTTCATTTCCTAATATAATTTTGACTAACCTATTACCCTTATTATTATTATGGTGTAAATTTTATAATAATATTTTATTTATTAAATAGATATTAGGCGCATTGGTATAATAAATATTTTTCTGAATCAGAAATCATTGGAGAACAAAGCCAAAGTTCACCCGCATCAAATTATGGAGGAGGACGAATGTAGATAAAAAACTATCTCAGCTTTAATTAATCATAACAAACGATTGTCAGGAAACCTATAATATAAATTTATTGAGTCATATTTTGATAATAAAATCATTAATAATTATAGCATAGATATAAGGTCAACAACTATTACACGTTACCAACAAACATTTCTTTTATAAATATCTTAAAAATAAAAATCCCAGATTAAAAGATTGCTCAGAATCGTTGTTTTGCACATGTTTTAGCTGTTCAAAAGCAAATAGACCTAATACCATTCAAACCATTCACGCCCATTAAAAACTTTTTAAAAAGAAAATTATTTTTAGGTTTGTATATATAAATTTAAAATAAATGAGTGTCCAGAACGATTAAATGAATTATATGTACAAAGATTGAAAAAATTTGGGTCGATAGTAAAATTAAAAATGCGCATGCGCATGCTTCTACATTTTTTTTTTGCATATTCTTTGTATACAATATAAACTGGCGTGACGCATTAACAAAAATTTAATACGATTTTCTAAGCGATTAATTTCTGAATATTTATTCAATCTACGATTGGGCAAGTCGGTCAGTTGACATATCCAGTTCGACCAATTGACGGTTAATTAATGTTACTTACACGGCTGATTGTTTATTGGATCCTCATTAGGTGGATGATGAGGCACGAAATACAATGTAAGAATTAGGCATTTTACAAGATGATTTGATTGATATAAGTTCCAAATATTTTAAGTGATATCATAAAATTCAGAAGTAAAAGCGGCCATATTTAATAAAAATATGTGAAAAATTATTTAAAAAATCATCTAACACAAAATAATAATCAAAGGATATATCAGAAATAAAAGGTATACGTCAAAAATGTATAAAAAAATCGTTTTAAAAAAAAAATTGAAACAATCTTAAAAAAATATTGTTTATAAAATATATATAACAAAATCTATAAATTATAGAAATAAATTCATATTAATAACTTAATATTAAATAAATAAATAAATTATTTAACTTGTAATAAAATAGAATACATTGCCGAAAAATTCCGACGTTGTAGCTACAATCTTCCAAAATTATATATTCTTTTTATCCTATGAAATATAACTTTATCAAAATCCTTACAGCTCTTAATGGCCTTAATACTAATAAGCAATTGAATTATACATCACTCAATTAAAAAAAAAACCCTTATAAACTAATTTGATAAATCTGATTAATAAACATTCAAATATTTAATATCTGAGTACAAAATAATTGTCCAATATTCAAAAACTCTGAAGTATCAAATCAGATTCATAAACCTAAACTTGGCAATAATAAGACTCTCAAATTATAATAAGGATCTATAAAATTATGACTTTAACGAAAAGGCTACATATAATAAGGCAAAATTCTGTTCCTGACTTTTTCATTTATATTCTTTAAAAGATATTTTCTGATACCCTTATCAATATTTTATAGTCTTCTGTAAATTTATAACTATTGATATCAAGATTATTATGACCTCAAGACAAATCAAATCTATAAATTAATTTCTTATTGTAAAAGAATCAACTTTTGATCATCATGTTCACCAAGTAACAATAAATTTTAGAAATAGAAACAAAACAATCGATCAAATAATATCTGTAAAAAATCTTTCATCTGACGCCATATTGGAACTCTTAAAAACAAAAAATGCGGTGGAATCGATCAAGACCCAAATATAGCACCCTACAATTATTGTGACAAAAAACCCATATTTGAAGATAAAAATAATATCCAACATTTTTACTCTTAAACTGATAAAAAATTTTAATTCATGAGCTTACAAGACCTCAGCACAGCTTCTACCAAATCTAACTGCCCTTTATGTAATAAACTCGTTAAAGTAACCAAATTGGGGCTATTGCCATCTCATCGAAACCAGAGGATAAAATGTCCTCAATCTGGGCATCCCATCTTATCACCAGCTATCCCTCGAACCCTAAATGCCTTTTCTGCCCTTGCCCTCGCACAACCTATAGTTACCATTCCCACGTTGACTGATGTGCCTACTAGCCCAATAGTCCCCACCTCAACCGCCGAAAATGCTCTCACTTTCAATCCAACCGACTCCACAGATGTAGAAATATTTTTAGTCACACCAAAACCATTTGTGATTTCTCGAATACTTAAGGGAGCAAGACTTCAAGTTGCCAGACACCTCTCAAAGAACTTGACTTTCTTGATAAATAATTATTCTTCCATAAAACACTGGCTAGACACCCTGTCATTTGCCTTTACTACCTTGCAAGTTCCTGATCCTGCCAGCAAAAAATCTCTGACACAGCAAATCAAGGATGCTACTACCTCTTACCCATCAGTCAATTTTCCACATCTTTTAAAGGTGATGACACCGATAAAAATAAAAATCACAAAAATGACCTACTCACCAAGGCCAAGCTTATATCTAAAAAGCTGGATAACCTGAATGTTAAATCCGCCATTCGACTGGCAACATCTGACAATAAGCTAGCTCCCTACGATCAAACAACTTATCAAGCTCTTCTCCTAAAACACCACCCACACGATCTTAAGGACGAAATACCGTCTTACCCCGAAGCTCCTCTAATTGCAACCACTTTTACCTCAAGCGAGGTTAGAAAGGCTATTCTCTCCTTCAAACGCGATTCTTCACCGGGGGTTGATGGGTTTCGCCCAATATTCCTACAGGATCTAACCGCACCTTACATCACACAACATGCGATGCTTTGGAAAAAATTACTCAACTCATCAACCGTATGCTTGCTGGAGGCTTACCACCCGCCATTATTCCACTCCTTTATGGAGCTAAACTCATCGCCCTCCATAAACCTAATAAAGATATTCGCCCTATCGCTATTGGGACCACTTGGCGCCGATTAACCGCAAAGCTAGAAGTGAGCAGAATATTGTTCACAGTATCCAATCACCTGTGCCCTAATCAATTAGGAGTCAACGTAAAAGGGGGATGTGAGGTATCCCTACACATGACCAGAATGTATCTACAAACAGACCCCAGTGACGATATCCTAATTAAAATAGATTTTTCAAACGCTTTTAACTCTCTAAAACGTTCAGCGTTTCTTAATCCCATCCTTACCCTTTACCCAGAATACTCGCAATTCATCTTCGATTGTTATGCTAGTCCATCGCATCTTCAATTTGGAGATAGATTGATTCCTTCTAGTAGTGGAATACAACAAGGTGACCCTCTAGGCTCCTTTTTATTCTGTCTGGGCATTAATAGCCTAATACAAGGCATAAATGACCAATGTAAACTAAACCTTCATAACTGGTATATCGACGATAGTATACTAGGCGGCTCACCCAGCGAAGTTATGAAGGCGGTCGAAATAATAAAATCCAGCGAGAGCAGTTTGGGACTGCGAATCAATCAAGACAAGAGCGAATATTGTCCTCTTGGAATCATCGACCTTAACTATGATCCTTCGTTCAATCATACACCATTGAACTTCTTAACACATCTTGGATCTCCAGTGGGTAAAGACGAGTCCTTTGTCAAGTTCTTCGCCACTCTACTAGAGATATCCCTTATGCGCGGTACACTATCTCGCCTCCCAGCCCACCAAGCGTTCTTTCTATTAAAGAACTACCTCCTAATCCCAAAAATTCTATATACACTCCGATCGTCACGTATCTTCCAATACGACGTCCGCTGCACACAAGCTAGAGATTAAACACCTCACAGAGGATATACTCAATCTCAAATTCGGAGACCTATCTTGGCTACAAGCCACCTTGCCAACCAAATCCGGCGGCATTGGCATACGATCCCTACTCTCTGTTAGTGCGTTCATATCCGCTCGCCTGTCCTGCGAGCCCATCATACACGCACTCACAAAACATCCTGTCCCTTTACTTCCCCATGCAATTGATCTATGGAAATCTCTTTCATTAGTCGATCCTCCCTCATCGGCACTGCAGAAGGACTGGGATAAGCCTCTAGTTGGCAACTCCGTTGCATACCTTAAATCGAGGAGCCAACCCGAGGATCATTCTCTACTCTTCTCCATTTCCGCAGACAGCGGATATGAATTTCTCGAAGCTTTTCCATCGCGAAACCTTGACCAGCTCCTAAGCAATGATGAGCTACGTCACGCCATCGGTCTAAGACTTAATTGTGATATGGTAATACCCTATCACTGCATCCTTTGTCAAACGCCGGTCAACTCCAAAGGCCGTCACTCTTTACACTGCAAGCGCTGTAGAGGCATATTCATTAGACATTCAAAATGCAATTATACTATTGCCAGGGCCCTAAAATCTGCCGGTATCCCATCAACCCTCGAAACTGGACTCTACAATTCTGATGGTAAGCGTCCCGATGGCTCTACCATGATCCCTTGGAAGAGAGGGGAATTCCTAACATGGGATTTCTCATGCATCGATCCCCTTGCCCCTTCCAATATAAATAGAGATGCTCTAGTAGACGCCGAGACGAATAAACTCGCTAAGTATTCGCCATCGCTTCCGGCCAATTACACATTCCTACCACTAATTGCCACGACTCTAACGTCGTGCGGCTCTCATGCCCTGGCCTTCTTTAAAGAGCTGGGGAAACGGATCTCTACTAGGACCGAAGATCCTAACGAGGGTTACTACCTACGCCAAAGATTAACCCTCAATATAATAAAATCCAATTACCTCAGCTTCATATTCTCAATGACTGATACCCCCTAATCACAGAATCGGCGATGAGAAGGGCAATTTTAATATAAGCCAAATGGCATGTTTGTAGGCGTAAGATGCGTTTAAATTTCTCCTGTGAAAAAGAAGATGGCACATTATATGCATCAAGGAAGCTCCAAATTTGGTGATCGGAATTAGACTAGGAGATCAGCACCTTACTCTTAATCTAGAACAAGAAATGAAACCTAGAGATATTACAGATCCGGTTGCTCAAACCTCTGTTGATATTATAGATTGGTGGTCTCGAAACGCTAATCGTTTTCCAAAGCTGTCGACAATGGCCAAGGATTACTTATGCGAACAAACTACGTCCCTAGCAACCGAACGTATTTTTTTCTCGAGCCGGCGCAACCATTACTAGGAAGAGGAATAGGATGTCAGCCACCACCTTAAAACAATGTTTATGTATAAATTCATGGGATGTTAATGTTTTAAATTTACGTGACGAATTTTTTGTATAATTTGTTATTTTTCCATTATTTGTTATTTGATTTATGCATATAATTTATTTATGAAAATAATAAAGATATGATAATGTGCCTTAAAAAAAATATATTATATATATATATAATATAAAAATATTTGTCAGTCTTAATAAATGTTTTTTTACGCCTTAATTTAAATCACTAAATCTGTAATATCTTAATAATAAAACGTTTTATTTAAAACTTTGTATTTTTCTTTAAGTTAAGTAATTTTATATCATGGTTGATAGATTTAAATATCTAGAAATTTCTTGATTTTATGCTGAAAATTTATAAGCATTTTAAAAGAAAAATCTAAGAACGACACATTCTTCTTATTATATTTACTTTCAAATTATATTTATTTAAGTCTAAGCACTAATTTAAAATGTTTTTGAAACTATATGGCCAAAAGGGCTCATAAAACATTTATAAAATGAACTCAAATTTAACTCTTTTATTTAAAAATAGTTTTGAATACGAAATACTATAATTTAAATATTATTTTATCTTCAAAACTTCAAAAAAAATTTTTTAACAATGGTTATCGCCAAAATTTTGGTATTTACAGGAATTCTGTTGGGTTTCTTTAACACGTAAGCACTGTAATTAGATAAAAGTATATTTCTAACAAAGTTTATAGCATGTCTAATAATTTATCAATTTTAGTATTTTAACTTATAAGAATATAATTAATTCAGGTCATGTGGACAAACGGATGAAATTTATTATGCAACAATTTTTAGACCACACCTTACCTATAAATTTTAATAATTTTTAATGGACTTTTATAACAAAAAAATTAATTTGATTAAACAATAATTTGTTTTTCCTTATTCAGATTCGTAATGTCGTTACACATTGCCCTTGCCAGCTTCTGGTAAAATGTAAAATACCCCCCCCCCCCCTACTAATTCCAAGGCAGAGGTCGTCAAAGATGATTGTGGTTGCTGTGATATTTGCGCCAAAGTAAAAAAAAATAAATAAATATGCATTTGATAGAACTTACTGAAATAACGACTATTCCAAGATCGTGAGGTGAAGATTAGGAATCATCTTAATTTAGAATTATTAAGTTGATTTTAGCGAAGTGTATTCCCAGAATATATATAGAATATATATATTTTTTTTTGAATGTTATTGCTTCAATTTATTAGTTATTAATATAAATTAAAAATATTCGAAAGAAAAAGGCTAAATTATATAATAAATTTAAAAAAGCTAGCCATTTGTAGAATCTTCCCACTTATATGAATGATTTTAAATTCTCGATAAGATTCAGAATATAAATATCGTATTTTAAAAATGGTGTAATTATAAGCATGTTAAATATATGTATAATATGATCTTATGGATAGGTTAAAGGAGAAGTGTGCGGTGGTGGTGTGTATTTCATCAAAGGGTAGATGTTCAAATGGTTTTATATGCCTCTTCAATAGTTACCAATAGCCGATTCTATAGGGATAGGAAATGTGTACCCGGATTTCCTAGAGTGACCAATGCTTCTGTATACTTGCTATATATATATAAATTATTAATGATATCTAGAAACCGTGATATTAACTTAACTTTATTTTGATAAAAGGTAACAGATATATTTATATATTTGTTATATTAGAACGCATATGATCATTGTGAGCAACAAGGAAATTGTAAACCCAGGTTTGTTATCAAATTAGACGTGAACTTATCGACAGATGCCTTATCCCCCGTAAAAAACCACTTGGTCAAACGTCAAAACCTTAAAGAAACAATAATCCCAAAATTATTTTTTAGGTTTGTAAAATTTAATAACCAATAAATAGCAATTTTTAATAACGTTTTCGTTTATTGGATCCCCAATATATAAGGGTAATATCTAAAATCTAACAAATGGTGAGTTTGATTAAAAGTATGTGATAAATTTAAAAATGAGAGCAAAACTTCAAAGATTAATCACGCTAAAAATAAATAATTTTTATAAAAGATATTAATTGTTTCATCGTACCTATGTATATAATTTTAAGTGATTTTTATTTCTAATATAATATCATAATAATCAACAAAAATTTTAATAAATGAACAATCTAAAAATAAATTAATAACTGGATACTTTAGGAATATAATCAAATCTCTTTAAATTGGAACTTGGATTATGAAACTGATATTGTATTTTTTGGGCACATTTTTACATTTGGTACGGATATAGTTAGTTATTTAAAGATATGATGATACTCTAAAGTATTCATTTTATCATTTGGGTCATGGTAATGTTAGTTCATTTTATTTTGAGTTTTCAGAATTAAGATGATGAAAATGAAAATATCAACATCCATGCTTACACGATAATCTATAAAATATTCAAATTAATAAACTATACTATAGTCGGGGTTTGACATATCGATTTGTATCTGTTTTACAATTTTGTAATTTGTATTTAAAATAGATGACACTTTAAAAGAAAAATTTGTATTAGGTTAATTTAAATAAGAATTATAATTTATGATATTATTTTAAAATTTAAATGAGAAAATTTTTTATCCTAGTTTAGATATTTCAAGATAATGTACGATATATGAATTTGATCATTATACCAATTTGTAAGAGTTACAATAGCACTTTTAGAAAAACAATTAGTTTATAACCATGCTGTACAAGATGGAATAGCATGTTTGATAGCCTTAATGGGTTATTAAAATTTAAAAAACGAATTATCAAAATTGTGTGTAAAAAATACATCATTTAAAAACTTAGCGATAATCGAAATGCAATAATTTAGATGTTTATTGTCTTATAAGGTCCCTATTGACTTTAATGATTGATAAAATGCAAGGCAAAATCAACCTTTATAGAGAATCATCTCCAAATATTAAATGTCATTAAAAAAAAATATCAAACATTTAATTCAAACGATGCAAACAATTAGCTATTGCAGTAGAAAATTCTTTAAATAATATATATTTGAGTATATTATGACTTATGGAAAAGAAATTAAAAATAACATTGAAATTAATATGTCAGCGAATTCTTCAATCGATTTTTGAAAACTTATTTTGTTTTAAAAATACCACATCTAATTCAAATAATTCAATAAATGATATATATCTCTAATTAGGGTTTGAAATTATGTGAAAGATTACAAGTGCAATAAAAAAAATTGATATTTGTTTTCATTATTATAATATATAATATATTTTTTTAAATATATATCTTTATATCGCATTGATCTTAAGCATGGGATAAGAGATGACGGGTAGATGCGCAAATAGTTTCATCTTTACTGAGTTACCAGCTGACTATTCAAGCAGATGAAAGATGCCCACTAGTATCTTGTAGAGCGATCACGCACAAAAATACTATATATATATATAGTTTATATGATTTATACACGTGATACTATTAATAAATTTTATGGGTAACAATTGATTCAAAATAATTTTATTTATAGATTTTTTAATCGTAACTTAGGAGGCACCTTTGTGAAAATGCCAGAAGATAGTATATTCAGATTAATTTGTTCCCAAATTAAAACAAGAAATTGATTGATATCATCGCTAATGCATTTTCGATTCCAATATATATATATGCATATGCATATATCATATTATTAAAGTATTTTCATTTATTTCAAAAAAATATAGAAGACTCGTAGCTATTGGTATCCTTCACTTGTGTATTGGACAAGTATCCTAGCGCCCGACTGTCCAAGCCTGTCGGTGACCGGGGTGTCACCCCTAAGCTCCGAAATTTATCTTACCATACGTCTTTACACATCAGTCATCGATGAAAAACCTTAAAAAAAATTTACGTTCCTTACCAGGATTGAACCTGGGATCTTCTGTTTTCAAGCATACAACCCACTATATACCTAATAATCCATAATCTTAATCAACCTATCAAAAATTATTTGCAACTACTTAATCTATGTAAAGGATTTGTCTATTTAATCTATTATAAATAAATAACTCTTATACGTTTACTTATCACAAAAAGAACCTTAATAGATGGTTTATATAATTGAATTTCAACATAACAAATACCAACTTTACAAAGAATTGGTGTGGGGATTAGAAATCAGATATAAAAACATCTTTTTTAAAACTGTCAAAGTTACATTTTTATTGTATCTTTTTGCCCTTATATCTATAGTATCTAAAAATTATGTGATTTATTAAAATATAAAACTCAATATATTTTTAAAAATTATATTAAAGAGATAATTTTTATCATGGAAATATCAGAATTTGGGGGGGGGAGTTCAAAGGGCATGACATTCTAAGCTCATCTTTCTTAAACTTGGGCCCCATTAGTTTTGTAATAAAATGTGATAAAGATAATTTCTCACAAGGAATTCTTTGCAACCTAAAAAAATTATATTTATAGTCATAAAAAAAAGTATTTTATTTTTCACAAGTATATAAAGCAAATTACAATGGTTGGTTTAAAATTTTGAGATTAGGTTTCATAGAAAATAATGATATCGTTTGGTGCGGTTCAAAAAAAATAATAATATCGTTTGGCTTAGAAAATAATAATATCGTTTGGTTTGCCAGTTTATACTTGTTTTAGGTTCATAGAAAGTAATAATATCGTTTGGTCAGGTTCAATAATAATAATAATAGGTTTAGAAAATAATAATATCGTTTGGTTTGCCAGTTCATACTTGTTTTAGGTTCGTAGAAAAGTAATAATATTGTTTGGTTTGATGATTCAAACTTGTTGCATATAAGGTTTTTTTATAATTATGTTAAGAAAACCACAGTTTCATTAATAATTTTATCTTTATAAGAAACTTATATATAAGCTCCTAACGTTTATATCATTATAAACTGGATTAAAGGAATATGATTGACAGCAGTTACAATCAAGATTGTGTTCTATCAAATGATATCTTTAAAAAAAATTACTTTTATATCCTAATTTGGGCTGGCACACTCAAATAGCTTAAAGATAAAAATATCTAAAATGGTAACCAATATTGAGAACCAATCAAAATCGATTTAATAATATCGAAAAACAATCGAAATCCTGAAAAGTTAAAACCGGCTCAATCCTTTTCAAGGTTCGGTTAAAAATATTGACGGTCGATTAGGATTTCTTATGAAAAACAGATATATTTGTACAATTTACGAATATGTACAAGACAGGCGGCCTAACTAAATGGAAGGAAGGTGAGAAATTTTTCACCACCAGAAAAATAAAAAGGTAAATTCATTTTAAAAAAAAAAGAAAAAAAATATATAATATTATTATATACACCAAAAGCTTAAGATAAGTAGTTTTAAAGATCTCCGTTTAAAAATATATATGGGGAAAAATACTGCACTTTATAGGGTCATTCCCCCATTATAGAAAGAGTTTTATTTTCAACATAATATTATATGTCTTTATAAAAAATGGGTTTTAAAACAAATATTTTAAGGTTATAGAAAAAATGTTTAAGTAAAAATTACTAATATATAATCATATATTAGTAATCAGAATACTTTGTAATCGTTTGCAGATTGTTATCATCAAATGAACAATGAATATTTTAAAATATTTTTATTATGGACAATTTATTCGGTACGTTAAAATAAATTCATCTTTAATAATTTTGTAATCGCCGGGCAAAATTAATCTAAATTTTAGTTTTTCTCTTTAAAATTATTATAACTTACCTTGGTATAAATTGTCGGTATAACGAAATTATAACAAATGGACATTATGTGAAAGGTAAATATCTATTACTAAATTTACGATCGTTAAATATTATAATTTTTACTCTAAAAAAAATTGAATAAAATGAATATATAATAAAAATATTTAGAAATAAGGGAAAAATTTTTTTAAAAAAATATTGTTTTATTTCTTTCACATTATTTTTAAAAAAATATCGGAAAAAGTGTCTCTAATATTCTAGGAATCATTATGATTCGATTGTATTTGATTTTCAAAAGATTTGATAAAATATGGCATATTTTATCAGAATTTAACCGATGGAATAGTTAAGCTTAGTAATTACTTGGGAATCTCGTTTTCAAAGTGATGGTATAGGACAACATTGTTCATTGGAAAATATTTTTATACATTTTTCTAAATAAAAATTATTGTATTATGCAATTTTTATAGGCTTACTTTTTTGATTATATAATCTAGATTTAAATTTTAAGATGCTTAGAAGAAATTATGGCAAAGTCGATAAAATTTTACCCTTTATTTGATTGTCATCTTAATTATAAGTATTTAATAGAAACACTAATGACCTTGCCAAATGTACGGTAGTAAAACATGCCACGATGAACTTGAAATGTTTTCGAAATTACACACAAAAATTTCGTATAATATATAAAGGGATAATTTGATATTATGTATATTTATATTTGTAAAATATAATTGAGGGAAAATGACATAATCTGGCTTTGGGAAATATCGTATTCATTCGAAGGGGCTAAACCCGACCTAACATCTGGGCAACTTCTCTTTTTTTTCTAATGAATTTGCATATCGTCTAAATTATCTTATGATAGTTGTTAAGCTATTCTTTATCTTTAGGGTTAAAGATTTTTCTAAATTTTTGTTTAGATAACAATGATTGAAACTATGACAAGTATGCATCGTTAATTATTTTAAAAAAGCCTGGTAAACTTGCTGTTTGACAGGAAGATTTAATAGACAGGATTGCCATATCTCCCCCCACCATCAGCGGGAGACTCCCGCAATTTTATACTTTACACGCTGACATTTCACTACCGCAAAACTACCGCAATTGGAAATCTCCCGAAAATATCTACGGCAATTTATTAATTTCTCCCGCAAATTTTTATTTAGCATTTAAACGTTTTTAATATATAAATAATAATTTTGGTTTAAGAGACAATAATTGATTATATTTATATTTTTTAAATATAATTTAAATATTTATTCGAAAAACATGTCTAGTTTGCAAATTTCTTTCTATCCTGATTTATTTTTATCCAATAATAAATCAATATCATTTCATTCATATAAGTCAGTACATTCATTGATAATCTCGAATCTGCTATATTTCCCAATATATGGTTAGTTATGTAAAATTTAATAGTTTTATTAAGGTAAATGTTTTAATAATTCCCTTATTAGATGTATCTGTTAGAATTTCATTATGCCGATCTTTCAAATCATCAAGAATTGACCTCCTGGATTCGGGTTCTAAAACATTGCTGATAGCCTTGCTCATTTTTGTTCTACAAGTGATAAGCGCATACCATTGCCGCAACTGTAGTTGCATCTGTATTATTTCTTATTTTTGGAGAATATTTTTGTTTTGATTTCTTTTAAAAACAAATTTTGCCTGTATATCCTATTTTTTGCGCTTTTTAAGAAAAATCTTAATAAATTCACTCTTTTATTATTTTTTTCTCTTAAACTTTCACCTTCTTCTTGTATCTTGATCTCACACCGAAGCATCAATATCGACAGATATCCCACGGGATTATTCTATCGACAGATATCCAACCGGAGTATTCTTATCAATTCCATCTATCATACTTGAATGGCCCACGAGATACGGTTTATTGGACAAGTATCCTATCACCCGACTGTCCAAGCCTGTCGGTGATCGGGGTGGCACTCAATTCATACTAGCCTATGGTCATACACATCACTCATCAAAGAAAAACCTGAAAATTTTTACGTTCCTTACCAGCATTGAACCTGGAACCTTCTGCTTCCAAGCATATATTAGAAATCTACTTTTTTTACCCCAGCTATTCTATTGGGGAAAAAAATAATAAATTTTACAAATATAAAACGTTTAAATTTAAAAATATAATTATTTCTTTCTTTCTTTCTTTCTTTCTTTCTTTTTTTTTAAGTTAAAGAATTTTATATCATGGTTGATAGATTAGATATCTACAGAAATTTCTCTATTTTATGACAATTTCAGAAAATGGCATTAAACAAACATGATTGATTGGTTTATAAAAAAAATCCTCTAAATTTATTATATTTTCATTCAAATTTAGTTATTTATTTATTTCTAAACACTAAACATCAATTTCTATTTATATGGCCAAAGGTGTCTATAAAACATTTACAAAATAATACTTTTTTTTTTAAAATTGATTTAAGGATATTATATATAAGTTAAATATACGAGATGATATAAATTCAAATATTATTTTACCTTCAAAACTTCAAAAAAGAAAAAAAAATTAATTAATTATGCTTGTCACCAAAACCTTGACATGTGTAGGAATTCTGTTGGGTCTCTTTAACACGTAAGTAACTGTAAATAGATAAAAGTATATTTTTAACAAAACTTTTTTTTTAGCATGTTTAATAATTTATCAATTTTTAGTATTTTAACTATTTAGATTAGAATAATTCAGGCCATGAGTGAAAAGCGAAAAATTTATTATGCAACAAATTTTATAGACCAGCACCTTATCTATTAAACAATAATTTATTTTTTTTCTTAAAATTACCAGAATCGTAATGGCGTTAGATTGCCCTTGCCAGCAACTTAAGATAAAATGTAAAACGGCTTCCCCTACAAATTGCAAGGCAGAGGTCATCAAAGATGTTTGTAATTGCTGTAATGTTTGTGCCAAAGTAAAAAAAATAAAATAAATATATATACTTAACGACTTAATCCAAGATCATCGCGCCAGGCCTAGGAATTTCTCTGACTTAAATTATTAAGATTAAAATAGTTATATGAGGTTGAACCTTTTGTATAAAAAAAATTAAAAATGAAAATTTACGGCTAAATTCTAAGAAATTCACAGCTAACCATTTAAACATTCTTGCCACTCTGATGATTGATTTATAAATTCTCTACAAGATTTCAGAATATGTTTTCATCCAATATTTTTTATGAATTAATGATAAAAACATTTTTTTTTTTTTAAATAGTAATAACATGTTAAATATATATAAAATTGTATTATTGGATAGGTTGTAGGAGAAGTATGTGGGGGGCCGTTTTTCATAAAAGGTAAATGTGCGAAAGGTTTGATATGCATTTTCAAGAGTTACCAAGAACCTATTCAATCGGACGGAAAATGTGTGCTAGGATTCGCTAGAGTAATCATGCTTTATTTACCCTTACTTTGCTATATATACATAAAAAATCATTATGATATCTCACACAATCCACGATATCAATAAACTTATTTCGATATATAAATGGTACAAAGATTACATTTGTATATATTTTTTATATTAGAACGTGGGTGACCCTTGCGGAGATGCTTGGCAACAGGGAGCTTGTAAACCGGGTTTATTATGTTTGCAAAGTACGCCAGCAAATATCGGTAAATGCGTGTTCCCCCCCAATATTCTAAGGAAGCGACTGTAAAATTTTCGGCTATTATACTTCAAATCTTCAATAATCCAAATTAATTTTATGTTGCAATGTGTAAAATTTAATAACAAATGGCAAATTTAAGTTTATTTTATAATAAAAGTTTCCATGATAGAATAATATTAATTAATTGTGAAAATTATATATGAACAATGATATATATAATACCTAGAATGACGATTCATTCATTAAAATGCATTTTTCAGCGTCGTTAAAAGCAAATCAGCTGGACCCGCCATTTTGGTAACTAGCTTCCTTATTATCTCGATGATCCGGTAATTCTTTAATAAAGTTTGCATCAGATATAGGAATAAACTAGGCTCTCGTTTAAAATTTTAATAATGATTAGTGTTACTAAGATGGCGTCTCCAGCTGATTGCATTGATGTACACATGAACGAATTGTCAGTCTAGGAAATATAAACGTCATTGTATATGAAACATTTTGGGTCGATTAAATTCCAAAATAAAATATCAAATAAATTAAATCATTATTTGACCCTGTGTCTTAGCTAACAAATTTATAATGCGCATGCTCGCGCATTTTATTTTCGCGTATAACAATATAAGAGGGCGTGATTGGTCCTAACAAATATTCGAGCCATTTTGCGCATTAATAAATATTTATTATGAATTTCAAAGCGATTAATTTCTAAATATATACACGTTTGAAAAAGAAAAAGTACAATTCCAAATACATGTTGCTCACGCAACTGATAAAGGGGAATATCTAACTAGTAATGAGTGCTTGATTAAAGCACGTGATTAAATATAAGAATTTAGCATTTTATAAGGTGATCAGATAAGTAAAAGACTAATATTGAGAATCAATCAAAATCGATTTATAAAAATTTTTAAAAACAATCGAAATCCCGAATGGTTGAAACCGGTGTCAATCCCGGTCGATGTTCCCGATAAAAAAACCTATATTATTAATAGGTATATAGAAATTCCTGAATATATACAAGATGAGTGTCTAACCAAGTGTAGGAAAAATGAGAAATTTTTTATGTTCTGATAAATATCATTCCCTACAGTCCCACCCACCATCTATTCCCAAAATATATATATACCATTTGAGAGAAAAAATAAGAAAAGGCGAATAATTTATATAAACATCAATGAAGCTCTCAATTTAAGGATCTCCGATCCATCTACCCGTGCCATTCCCTCACATGGAAGGATCCTGGATGTATCTGTGATACAAAGTAAATTTTCTTTTGATAAATATAAGAACATCCTGTTTTTTTTATAATCATAAATATGAAACATGTACCTAAATTAAACAAGTTCCTTTTTTTAAAAAATATTTTGCGATTTAAAACGTTGAGCAAAGTATCGACGGGGCTTAATGACCCATGTATGGATATGCAGTTAGAACGGCAGATTTCAGTTGATATTCTCTGTCTAAGGTAGAAGCCTTCTTTTGGATCACTTGTGATTAAACGTAACCTTTGCCCTATTGTTTTGAATAATTTTCGGGCTTGGGGTCCAAATGATATCCCCAGGTATCTGAAACTATCGGAACAAACAAAACATTATTAAGGTTGCTATATTTGTTTGTTTTTGTGATTTCGGCTTTCGTGATAGAGTTGGAAGAAAAAGATCTGGCAAAACGATCCACACTAGTATGATCCCAGGCGAGAGGTAGATCTTGGTTCCAAGGGACTAGCGTCATACCATCTGGTCTGGTTTGATTGTAAGGGCTGAGGCTGGATGGTTCCAGGATAGAGGGAATATTTGAAGATTTAAAGGTCCTGTTGATGCTTGATTTATACCATCCATAAAATGATAGTTATAATTGATTAAAGTTAGCAAACATTGCTTATTCTTTCTTCTTTTACTTTTTTTAAGCTATAACACATATTAGAGAGAACTTAAATGATTTTTAAGAATAGAATTTTCCCTGCATATCCAATATAAAATACAAAATCCTTGTTCAGTCTTAATAAAACGTTTTCTGAGAGCCTTAATTATAATTCAATGAAAAATTGTTAAAACATTGTATTCTCTTTAAGTTAAGCAATTTTATATGGTGGTTGATAGATTGGATATCTAGAAATTTCTTGAATTTTATGAGAAAATTACAAGAGAATTTATAGGCATTTTTAAATCCAAAAAAAAACAAACATTTCAGGTTGGTTTTTAAAAAATCATCTAAGAAACGATATATCTTCTTATTTTTCTTTCAACAATAATCTATTTTGTCTTAAAATTAATTATCACAAATTCGCAGAGAGGTCCTTTTTAAAATTGAGGAGGCTGGAGTGGAAGAGCGTCGCTCCACTGCTCCTTTAAATTCAATGTATAAATTAAATTATTTTGTAAATATTAATAATATTTGTTAATTAAAATTCGATAAAAAATGAAATTTTATTTCATTTAAATTTATCCATTATTAAATGTTTAAGCCGAGTTTTATATTGGGTTTTTAATCTAATCATTTTAAATATTTAAACATCAATTTTTTTCCTTTTTATATATAGAAAATAAATTTTTCGGAAAATCTTGTAAGTCATAATTAATATACTCGTTTTGTAGATATATAATATTAAAAAAAATAGCCTAAGATATTATGGATTTAGAGAACATAGATGAAGAAATCGACGTTCTAATTCCATCATTACAAAAAATATTTTAAACTTCTAAAAGATGTTAATCCAAATGATCAAACAAATTTAAGGGCAAAATGCCTTTTGTGTTTAAATAAAACTATTTAATTTTCAAAAGAGACCAGCTTCAATCTAAAAAAGCATCTATAAGTAATCTTTCTTTTAAATACAAATTGATTTGGAAGATTTTTTTTGGATTCCTGGAAATTGATCATCAGGAAGATTATATATTGGACAAATATTTTTTTAAATAATGATACCAAAATTACTATTTATGAGAAATTTTCTTAATCAAAAAATTGAGGAGGGCCTATTTTGTATTGCAAAAAAAGTATTAGCTGAGAGGTCTGGATGTTTGTTAGATTCTAATTTAGAAAATTTATTACTTTTAAATGCTATAATAAAAGGTTATAAATATTTTGATAGATCATTTAAAAAAAAAATATGATTTTGTTTCGCATACCTTTTAAAAAAATGTAAATCAAAGGAGCGGTTATGGAGTGGCACTCCAATCTCCTTTTAAAAATATAGTAGCGGGAGCTAGATCTTCTTGAGAAAGTAGGAGCGGGAGCTAGCTACTTTTAAAAATTCGTAATAGCGTTAAATTGCCCTTGCCAGCAACTTAATATAATATGTAAAACACTAGCCCCTACTGATTGCAAGGCAGGGGTCATCGGAGATGCTAGTGGTTGCTGTTATGTTTGGCGCTAATGTAAAAAAAAAAATGTATTATCATAGAACTTTCTGGAATAATGAATTATCCAAGATCATCAAGTGAGGATTTAGGGAATATCTCAAATTTTTGATTTCATTAGGGTTTATTTTAGAGTAATTATGTTCCGATATGCGTGGAGTATTATTTTGTTCAAATATTCAAGACGACTTAAGCGTTGAACTTTTTAACACATCATGGTTATTTTAAATTAATAATACTCAGAAGAAAATTTACCTCCTAAATTATAAGAAATTAACAGCTGGTCATCTGCACAATCTTCGCCACTTTGATGATCGATTTTAAATTCTCGATATGAATCAGAATACGTTGTTTTTATCGAAAGGGTTTGGGAATTAATAAAACGTATTTTAAAAATAGTATAATTAGCGCATGTTAATTATATAAATGGAATGGTATTATTATGGGATAGGTTGTAGAAGAAGTCTACGGGGGACCGTTTTTCGCGAAGGATGGATGTGTAGGGGTTCGATATACCTCTTCCAGAAGCCTATTCAATAGGATCGGGTTTCTAGAGTAATCTCGCTTCCTTTTTTTACACACTTGCTTGCTATATACATATAAATTGTCTGCAACCCTGGTATTGATAAATTATTTTGTTTTATCATACGAATATATTGATATATTTTATTCAGAACGTAGATGAGCCTTGTGGAGATTCCTGGCAACAAGGATATTGTAAAGCGGGTTTATTTTGTTTGCAAACAACACCAGGAAATATCGGTAGGTGCGTTATTCCCCACCGAAAACCTTTCCAATACCAATAAGGACCCCCATAGATGTTTAGCTATATATCAAATTTAAAGAAAAATATACAATTACCCTTAATCATTTGTATGTTGTTGTAGTACTATGTGTAAAATTTAATAACAAAATAAATGACAAGTTTTTAAATAAAAGTTTCTACGGATTATTTATTGGATTTCCAAAATAAGGAACACAATATCCAACTAGTAGCTATTGAGTTTGATGACGCATAATGATTATAATATAAGAATTGGTCACTTTAGAAGTGACGATAATAATTTAAGCGAATATTCATAAATTCCGGAAGTAAAAGCGAGGCCGAGCAGAAATATGTGGAAAGCAAGTAAAAGTTTAATTAATACCTCGAGTTGTTTTAATGGGCTAAACATGTTTTCTAAAAATATCAACCATTCTCGCTATTTCTATGCAGGAGATTGGTTAGTTTGAGTCATGATTTGTTTGCTGAAATAAGAAATAGATTGACAATTTAGACAACCAAAAAAATTGGTAAGAGTATATCATAATTGTATAATCAAATATCTTTTTAAATTTGAGTTTTAATGTTTTGAAACTTATATTATACTTTTTGGGGCACATCTTACATTGGTGAGGATAGAATTAGTTTATTGAAGATAACGATGTTACTCTAAGGTATTCATTATATTTGGGCCATGGCATTGTTAATTCATTCGATTCTGAATTTTCAGTATCGTGGATATTTGTTATTCTTCTTAAAATTTTGTAAAAGATTTTTATTTAAGATACAAATTATTTAAAAATATTAGTATCTTAATCAACTTTATAATCTAATAAGATACAAATACATATTAGTTAAATAGTATTAAAATTTAAATGAAAAAATTTGATCCAAGTTTAGATATTTTAAGCTAATGTTATGATATATGACGCTGGTTCTTCACATGAAAATATGCTGAACAATTGCCATATTTTATTTGAATCGCTTT